ATGCTGTCAGGGCCTCCTCGGAAAGGGGGAAAGGGGCAGCAGGAGCGAGGCCAGTGCTGGGGGGATGCAGGCAGGCCGGACACGAGGCACGTGGCTCCTGTGGGCCTCCAGCCCCAGGTGCGAAGGCTCGGCGGCAGGTAGCTGGCGCCTCCTCTGGCAGCAGCCCCGGGAGGGCCGCACCTGTGGGTGAGGGAGAGCAGGTGGGCCGTGCGTTCTGCAGGTGTCTCCCCACATCTGCCTCTCCCCCCTGCCTGACAAGGTTAGCCCTGGACGTTGTGCAGGGAAGGGAAGGGGAGGGGGGAGAGAGGGAGGGAGGGAGTCTCTCTCCCCGAACCAGAATTTGGGATCATCCAGTGAGAGGACGGATGGCTCCAGGCTCTGCAAAGCGGCCTTCAGAATTAACCGACAGAACTCACTGCCGTGCGGCTCGGAGACGGGAGTCGGCCAGGGAGCGTTGCAAAGGGGGGCTGTGTTTGGGGAGAGCCCTCCATGGCCCCGGGCCCTCGGGTGACGCTGATCTTCCCCCCACCATGGCCCTGAGCAGCGCTCGCCCCCCTTCGTCTTCCTCGCCACATCCCTGTGGCCCAGTCCACACTGAAAGCGCAGTTCTCTGAGCTCGGTGCCCCGTCTCCATGGGCAGCCAAGAGGGGGGTGGGGAGGAGGGGGAGATGTGCCACTAGAAGGGGTCCGCAAGACAAAGCGCACTCCCTGCAGGGGGGGATCAGGCTCCGCAGCGGGAGCGGTGTTGCCCTCGGGTCAGCCTCCGGGTCAAAGTCCCGGGCCCCACTCCGCAGCGTGGAGAACCCTGGGCTGCAGCCCTCCAGCCCAGGGTCCAAACTGGTCCAAAGCAGGGCCCCCCGACCCACATGTGTGGTTTTAATGGAGAATGGGCAGATTTGGGGGGGGGTACCAGCTAGAGACCCCTGCAAAACCCTGTTCTCCATCCCTCTTTGCTGAACTCTGGAAGCTGACCTAGCAGAATAAACATCTTTCTCGTTTCACACAAGAAAAAAAAGGAGGGCGGTGTTTGCTCTTCCCTTTTTCCCACTGCCGGCAGCGCGTCCCCCTAACTGACAGGAGCAGATGGGGCAGGAGCAAACGTGGTGCAAAGAACTGGGAAAAAGGGGGGAAGTTTACGGGAAAGAAATACCAGCTTTGTGGGATTGTGTAGGTTAAAAGTTTACAGAGTGAGAGCTATACGTGATACCGAGCTGCTGGGCCACGCCAGGGGGATCGAAGCAAAGCTTTTGGCAGGGGGTGGGGTGTGTGGGGGGGTGAAGCTTTCGCTCTGCCTTGTGGAAATGGGAAATGGAGTCCTTTTCTTCTTTTACACAGAATTACCTGTGAATTTGTGTTTCGTGAAAAAGAGCAGGATGGGGAGGGGGCAGGCTTTGCCTCTCCAAAATCACTCTGAGCCATAAACATGCATGCGAAGGCAGCGCCAAGGCTGATGGGTTTTGGAGTGCAAAGGTGCTTCTTCTTCAGCTGCCTGCAGAGCCGCGTCCGGCCCCCCATCGCCCCGATATTGCTGAGAATTGGGGGCGAACAGGTGTGAAGCCACGGCAGGTACGGGAAGGCCTGCTCCCGGGGGCTCGCGGGCAGTGCCAGGTAGGCGAGGGGGCCCCCGAGACAGGGATGCTGAAGCAGCTTCAGGGCGACTCACCCCGTTCAGAGATGCGCTCGCAGGCCGCGGGCCGGTGGTGGGCAGGGCAGGGCGGGGGGCCGAGGGGGTGGGGCCCCAAAACAGACGCTCCCGAGTGGCTCTTCCATATTTTTGGAACACCGAGGCGGATGGGGAGGATTCTGTGCCAGGCCAGGAAGGACAGGAGGAAAGGATAGCGTGAGGGGTTTTATCCTATCTGGCAATCTAGGAGGCGCGCATCTGTGCAGAAGGGCGGACCGGGGGGAGGCAGCCCCGGGGGCCGGAATTGCCCCCACCCTGGTCGGCAGGCGCGGGCCGGCTCCTCTGCCCTCGCCGGCCGCGCTTCCCGCCGGGGTCGCCCGTGTGTCCCTTCGCCCCGTGCGTGGCACTCGCGTCGGGAGCACCCGCGGCCGCTCGCCTCCCGGCACGGACGGTCTGTGCCTCTTTCTCTGCCTTTTGTCCGTGTGCATAATAAGCATTTAAAATGAAGTCTTGCCAGACCAGGGGAGTGGGAGGGAAGGGGAGAGATTTGGGGAGGCGGGAGAGGAGGAGGAGGGGGTGGTTAAATAGCAAAGAATTAGAAAAAAAAAACCCGATCAGATGCAAATCACTAGTGGAAAGGAAATTATGTGCAATTACTCAAGAAAAACTGGGCAGCTCTGCCCACCCTAGCCAACAAGAGCTCATTAATAAGCAGAAAATAAGATTGAAATGGTGTGTAAAAGAGCTGGAAAAATGAATTTGAATGCCGCATTTGTCCACAATTACCCCCGCGTTCACACATATTTTATTGCAATTTTTTTTATTATTCTTAATCTTTCCATCCCTCAAAGCAGATTGGGAACGGCCTGGCATTACGGTTGCACAGGGAGAAGTATTACCACGTTCCCTTTTTCCCCCCTGAAAGAGAGACTCTGCCCGCGCACAAATTTGCAGGGGCCGGGCTGGCAAGGATCAGAATTCATTGCTTCGGCTTATCGCCGTGTAGGAACAAGTCCTTTTCAAGCATCGCCCGACCTCTGCAAGCGCAGCCTGGCCAGCCAGCCAGCCAGCCTGCCGTGCCTCCGTTCCCTCGCTGCAGAGGGGAACGGCGAGACTTCCGGCACGGCAGCATGCCAAGGCAGACCTGTGGCCTCTCTCTGTGCTGCTGAGACGGGCTGGCAGCCACGGTTCGCCAGGTTTCCGGTCTGGATTCCCCCCCAGCTCTACCTGGAGACGCTGGGGACTGACCCTGGGAGCTTCTGCCTACCAGTGAGTTGCAGCCCCTGGCTAAGTTTCTAGTCCTCATGGTTTTGAAGAAAGGGCTAATCTAAAAAGGAACACAGGAAAAGGCCTTTGATGGAGTCAGACCCCTGGTCCAGCTTGTCCAGGGCGCCCAGGCAGGAGTTCTTCCTAGGAGATGCCACGATTGGACCTGCAGATTTCTGTATGCGGCAGAGCACGTCTTACCCTGGGGAAGGCCACCTTGGTCCATCCGGCTCACACGGCCTGCAGGAGAAGCTCTCCAAGGGGCCAGGCAGGGATTTTCAGAGCTCATTTTCTCTCACCCGGGGATTCTGCAGCGATCCGGCCTTGTCCGGAACATGCCCGTTTTGCAAGCTTGTGGATCACTTTTACGGGGGGTGGGGTGGGGGAGATGCGCACCGATCCACATTCGCAAACCGCTTTTGCCTCCGGTGCCAACCTGCATCGGCCGATGTGCGTGTGTTGCACAGTGAATGTCTGTGCAAGCAGGACAACATCTCGGCTCACGAATTCATCCTACTTTAGGTTGAGAACTCCGATTAAAGATGATCTGGTCAATGAGGTGATGGCAGAGATGGCAGAGGAACCGGTCTGCAAAACATGGTGGGACAGACTCGACCAAAGGGTTGCTGCCAGCCAGTGCCAACCGCACTGGGCAAGACGGGCCACGTTCCTCCTCTGTTCAGAACCATGAGGTCTAGAACCTTGGGTTGTCTCCAGGGCTGCATGCAGGAGGTCTCCGGTTCATCTCAGCGCTGGGAAAGCCCTCCCCACACACCGGGAGAGCGGCTGCTGCCCGTTCGTGCTGGCAAGCCTGGGCTTCAGACTTGGCACAAGGCAGCTTCTGAAGCCCTGGGACTGGGCCAGCTGGTGCCCGGCTCAGGCTGCTTTCCGGGGTGCCCAACTCCAAGGCCTCGGCCTTCCGAGCTTTCCTCATCTCCAAACTGGGCCGGGACCAAACAAGCAAACATGAAATGGAGGACCATCTTCCACCAGCTTTCCAGAGCAGAGGACAGCCCTTCCCCACATAGGACACCCGGCCAACCTGGTGCTTCAGCAACCGACGGGGATGTCACCCCATCTGGACATTCCTGACCTCTTCCTTCAAAGCTCGATTAGGCGCTCCTGGCCATCCTTTGCCTGCGCTTCCGACGGCCAAGATACACCCAAACATAAAATTTGGTTTAAATGCACCTGCACAAACTCCAGAAAACGGATCAAAGAAGCTGAATGAGCAGAAGGACACCTTAACTCAGCCAACGGCCTTCGCCAACCAACACGGCCTCTGATCCACGTGGATTGCCCATCGGCAACGCACGGGAAAGGTGCCCCCCGGGGCAAAAAGCCCCACGGCACCAGAAGGACGCGGGTGTCGCGGGTTTATTTCTCGATCGGCAATCAACCGCCCGGCCGAGGACGGAAGCCCCACCTTGCCATGTTTCAGCCTTGGCCCTTCTCTCCACAGGCCTGTCCCGTCATCGCCTGCAACCCAGGAATGAGGGCAGAGAGAGAGGCACCCTGGCATCACACGCAGCCGCAGTTCATTCCGCCTGGGAAGCGCAAGAGGGACGGAACGAGCGGTGTGCCGGCAGGCGCCCTCCAACCCACCCCCAGAATCGTTCTTTTCGGTCTTCCCAAAAAGGGGGGGACAACGTGGCAGTGATGCCGGAAGAGGCCCGATCGTTACGTTCAGAGATCGGTGACAAACCCGAAAGACGACGACACGGACAAGCAAAACGGCATCTTCAGGCGCCTAACCAAAGGCTTCGGGGGGATGAAATGGCGACGGTGCCGGATGCGACGGGGCCACCACCGAGAAAGCCCTGCTGGTTTCGGATGGGTTATGCGGAGTGCGGCGTACATTGGGGGACTCGGTGAAAGTGAGGGAAGTTCCTGTGTTCGGGAAGGCAAATTTCTCTGGGATTTTTAGCTTGGCGCTCCAATCCTTTGACAAGCTGAATTTTGGAGGGTTCAGCCAGTTCCGTCCGGACCCTGGTGACCGGCCAAGGATCCCGGGAACGTTGTTCCACTGCGAAACGGGCCACGGCCCTCCCACGTTCCTTGGGGGCATGGCCACATCAGAGGAGACGGGCGATTGCGGCGCTCAACCTACCTGCGGGGAGAGCCCGTTGCTGACGGGGTTCATGTGATTAGCCGGAGCCGCCGGGTTCATGAAACTGTCCGAGTAGCTGGAAAAGCTGTGCCGGGCCCCGTAGGCAGAGCTGGAATCCGCCGCTGCCGCCGCCAGCCCGCCCTGGTGCATGGTGGACGGCGGGAGAGGCTGCGGCCTGTGGACGGTGTTGCCCCCATCTGTGGGAAGAGAAGCGGGAGGGTCATCGCGGGCACGGTCCTATCCTCCCGGGGATGGCAAAGGGGGCCGCCTCGCCCGCCTCTGGAGCCCCACTTCACGTGGGAGAAGGAACTGAACGCACGCAGCCCCTTGTGTCAGAGGCACCGCCGTGCTCCGAGATGGCGGGCAGAGGCCCTTCTCCGGGAGCCCCCTCCCTTGGAAGGAAACCAGGAGGCGGCTACTCAGAGAAGGGCCTGTTGGGTGGTGGCTCCCCGACTGCGGAAACTTAGAAACATAGTGCGTCAGAAGGGCCTTTTGACTTTCCCGGCATTTTAATAATGAATTGATTTCATCCTCGTTGTCACCACTCGGGCACCCCCAGCATCCCCTGCTCCCAGAGACCCCCAGCATCCCGCAAGGCATAGCCGGAAGGTGGGGGGCCGTGAAGCCGGCGACAGCCTCTCCCGCCCCGCGATTCCAGCCCGGAGCACTCACCTTGGGAGAGGGTGGTGGTCGGGTAAGTCGAGTCCGGCAGCTGGTAGGGGGGCAGGGCCGGCATCCCCGTGGGCGGGAAGCCCCCCGGCAGCAGGTGGTTGAAGGCGGCCAGCTGGTTGGCTCCGGCCTGCTTGCGCCATCGGGCCCGGCGGTTGCTGAACCAGACCTGGGAGGAGGAAGGCAGCGGTACGGCGGGTTAGAGCAGCGCCCGGGCGGCACGGGAGGCGCGTTTCGCCCTCTCGCACGCACCGCAGCCTGGGAGACGGAGCCAGGGCGCCGCACAGCGCGCGGTCAAAGGACGGCAGCCACATCCCGAGATATCGGGACAGCCCGCAGCTTGGCCTGGAGAAAGTGCGGCAGAGGGGGCTCGCCACGGCCACTAGACCTCATGGCTGTGTGCCACCTCCGGGGTCAGGGAGAGAATGCCTGCATGTACCCGATGCTGGGGAGCATGGGCCGGGGGGTGTGCTGTGGCACTCATCCGGCCCAGTGCTGGCTCCTCTGCCCAGCAGCATTTTTTTGGCTTCAGAGAAGCAGCCGTCCTTCTTGAGCTCTTGAGCCGACCCCACGCCTCGAGTTCGTTTTGTGGGAAATGCTGGGGACCAAGCTTAGCCCTCCGGAATGGGAGGCAGGTGGTCTCTGTGCAGGTCGTGGGGCTTGCCCGGTACAAGCGACGGCCGTCTTCCCCTTCCCTCAAGGGTCTCCAGTGCCAGCCATTCCGGCACCCTGGCTGAAAGACTCCTGCAGTTTGCTTTCCTCTCCCCTCCCCACCGCCTTTCCTTGCATGATGCTCCCTCTGCAGCCCTCAGCCTGTGGGCAAGGCCTGCCCAGCAGCCTGCAAGCTGTACAGGGAGCTTTTTCAGCAGAGGAGCTGAATCGAGCCACAGAGCCCCTGCCCGGGCATCTTTCCGAGCAGCCGCCCCCACTTGGGTTCCCCATGGGACTACAATACCCTCCAGCGGAGCGACAGTCTGCCTCCGTTACACTGCTGTTCTTAGCTCCGTCAGTCACGGAGCAACTCATCCAGGGAAGGCTGGGCTGCCGCAGCCGGAAGCAAGAGCGACCACCAGGTGGCACCGGCAGAGAAGGAAAAGGCGAATGGGGCACGAGAGCGGGCGCCACTGCCTGGACCGTCCCACCGCCGGTGCCGCCGGGGCTCGCTGGGCGACGCTGGCAAAGCAGGAGCACCTCGGAACGTCAACGGTCCCCGGGCCCAAGGCTGGCCGTTCGCGGGGTCCCTTTCGGGGTCCCTTTCCAAGCATGGGCAGAGCTTAAGGCCACGGGGGCAGGGGCAGCCGGCTGTGGCTCCCCAGAGCGTCCCAAGAGCTGAGCCGGCACCCCATGGTGCCGCCTCTCCTCCCTGCGCATCTCGGCACGCCTTGATCTGCACCTGCCGAGCTGCATGCGGCACCTGCTCCCGCGTTGCGCGTTCCCACTGGGATCCCCGGACTCTCGGGAGCTGGGAGAGGATGGCTGGAGACGGGGCCGGGGCGGCGGGAGGACTCCTGGCTCTGGACGGGGCTGACCCGCGGTGGCGGGCCCTAAAGGGCCACAGAGCACGATGCACTCTCCCGGCGACGGTGCAGGGCGAAAGCAGCCAGAAAAGCCATGCCCGGAGGCGGAAACTCCCGTTGTGCCGGGGAGGCAGATGGGGGTGGAAAGACCACGAGGATCCAGCCATGTTCGGACACTGGGAGAAACGGGAGCTAAGAAACACGCCTGCTCGAGGCAGGTGTGGAGAGAGAGTTTCTTCGCCGGCTGCAGAAGCCGCTTGTTAGGTGGGGCAGCACTGACCCAGAGTGGGAATTGCTGTCATGTGGGGGTCTTTGGGCTCCCCGCTCGCTTTTCAGCACCATCTGCTCCCTTGGCCTCCCGCCGTGGGTTCGGTGTCCGAAGCAGACGGCCCTCCCTCCACGACTGACGTGTTGATTTTTCCGTACCTGGATTCCCCCGGCAGGAGGATCTTTCAAAGCCATAATTGTGGTGGAGCAAAACAGGTTCCCTTTGAAATGGGGCTCACTTTACCTTCCTGGAAAGGGCCCATCAGAACGGAGACGCAACGCTAGGGCCCACGTCCCCACATGTGGCGCTCCACGATCCCAAACCACAACTCCCATGATGCACCTGGAAACGGCACGTGTGCAACCGCCGCCCCCCCCCCCAGGCACCCAGGACCAGGCGTTGAATACAAGGAGAACCCTCATCCGAGGTGACGTGGACGAACTCATGGCTTTCCCCGGAAATAAGAAACAGCTCAGGTCGGTTTGTATCGTCCGTTGGGGGACCATCGGGTCGTTGGGTCCTGTTGGGCTGGCCTAATCCCTCACCATCGGCTGCAGCACATGGGACTTGTAGTCCTACCCTCGAGGTAGGTTTGCATCCCACTGGTGACCCACTCCAACAACTATTAAGCCAGAATCAGGCACTCCGTGGAGTTGACCTGACCAGAAATACCAGTAGTCCAAACTCAACAAGTGACTCTCCTGGATTTGCACCCAGGCTCCAGAAGATCCCGTCTTGGCACCGGGAAAAATCTTGCTCGGCCTTCATTTGAGCTGCCCAAACTCAGTTCCTCAACCAATTAAGTTCTGGAGTCTCCGACCTTCTAAACCTGAGTACGTTGGGAAAAGCTGTGTACAAAAACAGATACATCCTGGGACAAGGCAAACCAAAGGCACAGGCTAGAAAAAGGGGCAGCCCAAAGCACGTGCAAAGGCTGGCCGTAATATATTTAATTTGCAGCCGTTCGGCAGAGCAAACGCATTCCCGAATACGCGAGACGCTGACAGGGATCAGGCATTGGCTGATTCATCCATCCCTGCCTTGAACTATGAATACCATCATCTTTGCAGTTACTTTGACTGTTGGGTGGACAGGTAGCAACATTAATTTAGATTCTGAATCCGCTATATTGCATTCTGTCCCCGTGGGACAGAACTCATACATGGATGATTTTGCGAGATGTCAGAACGCCGGAGAAATCGGCAATGGACTCAGGTGAGTTCTGACTCCTTTCCCAAGTCATACAGATTTTGTGGACTAATTTTCCACCTTGGGAGTAGATTACCAGGACACAGATGCACTAGTCCACATGAATTCCTGCTCCCGGGCACTAACACACCTTCGGCAATGCCAGTTTGTGCATTAGCCCAAGCGGCTTTAAATTCTGCTCAAAACAAAAAACCTGGTTTGGTTTTCACCTGAGCTGGAAACAGAACAAAAGAGCTACAAAACAGAGGAGTGGATTTAACAAAGTCGGCATCTCCGTAGTTGACAGTGAAATTCACACCGCAAAGCGCTGAAGGGCACCGACGTCGTATGCAGCTTAGCAGGACCCACTTCCCCAAAGAGCATTAGGGACTGAAGGATGCGCATGGGCCCCTGAACCTATCTTTCTCCAGACTGATTGTGCTCCAGATGTGCTGATTGCAACTCCCATCTTTGCAGGGCTGCTGGGAATTGCAGTGTGATGTAGCCGAGGGAACATCAGGTTGGAGAAAGATGCCCTAAGGAAAAATTTACTTAGCTGCATGGAGCCTCTCTGAATGAAGCGGTCCAGCAGAGGTAAAAAAGAGGACACCCCGCCCCCCAGCATGGGTTACCAGGGTATGGACTTGCCCCTGCTGGAGGCCCCGATGGCTGTCTGGCCCCAAAAACCAGTTCAGAGCTAGCGATGGGTCTTGGAATGGCCAGCAGAACACAGCAAAACCTCCTTGTCCCAGCGCAGTCTACCGCCAGAGAGTGAGGACAGGGCAACGGCTGCCATCTTGCCTCCCTTTCGGGCTTCCTGAACCAATCTGGCCTCAGTGGACTTTCACGCTAATGCAGCCGAAGTCTCTTCCGCTTCCTACAATATCAGCCGCTTACGTGACCGGCCACCGAGAAAGGTTTGGTGCCGTGGGCTGACACGAACCCCACGGGGCTAAACGGGGTGCGGAGCACATTTCCGCTGCCTCCAGCCCCGGGGCTTCCCTTCGGCTTGCCATGGCACGAGAGGCGCGCTTCCTCCAGTGAAGCGACCTCCTTGCCCCAAAAACCTCCCTTCCCTGCTGGAATTCTTCTATGTCGCGTGCCCAGGACGCCCCGAAAGGTTGCTTTGCTCTCCCACAAAAATGGGCCTTTTCGAAGATAGGCAGATGGGTTTGCTTTCTTATTTACAGCTCCGGCGTTGTGCGTCTCCCTCTCTCTTTCTCTCTCTCTCTCCGAGTCGAGAAACCCCCCCCCCCCCAAAGATGATTCCAAAATACATCCCAGGAATTCATGCTGGCAACACTTCCCTCTCGCCTATTCTTTGAAATGTGGCTGAAGACCCTTTTTCCCTTTTTATGCTTATAAATCATTTTATTGGCGGTTAAAATATACAGGATTGAGCGTCAAGAGGGTAATACAAGCCCCACATCAAAGGGAACCTGTTTTCCCTCTACCACAGTTAAGGTTTTATCAGCCACTAAAAGATTCTCCTGCCAGGGGGATCCGGTTACGAAAAAAATAAAAATAAAAATGTTAATCCCAGAGTGACGGCCAATTGCTTCAGATGCCGAACCCGCGGCACAGAGGCAACGGGGGCGGGGGCCGAGAAGCGAGGGGGCAGCCTGAAGATGCCTCGTCCCCCCCCGACGGAGAAGCGCTCCCCGTTCGAGGTCGGGGCGCCCACGGGCCCTGCTGCTGCGCACGGACGGCCACGGCGCTCCCACGCTGGATGCCCACCATCTTGGAGATGTTTGGGCAGAGAACAGCCGGCCGTTCCCGGCATCCCCGGGCCAACGACGGCCTCCGGGGCAATCATTCTGCTCTGCTGCTCCATTCATTTCTCAGCTAATTCTGTTTTAATAATAGTCACAGAGATCCTGTGAGCTGAAAGTCGCTCCTTGGCTGCCCAGCGACTGCTTCCGTTGCAACCGCACCGTTTAGCTCGTTGGTTTCGTGGCCCCGCGGCTCTTCCTAGGAGTACCGATAGCCATCTTCCACGGCTCCCACCCTCTCCTGAGGTGGCTTTTTTATTTTTATTTTATTTTTCAATTTCTAGCCTGCCTTTTTCCTACAAGGGCTCAAGGCAACTTACATCTCCTCCTCCATCTTATCCCCACAACAACCACCCTGTGAGGTAGGCTGGGCTGAGTGTCTGTGAGTGGCCCAAAGTCACCCAGTGGGCTCCATGGCTGAGCGGGGACTCGAACCCAGATCATCTGAGCCCCAGTCCTGTGCTCTTAACCACAACGTCCTCACAAGCACCCCCTGGGGGTAGTGTGGGCCAGGACGGAGGGGGCTAGCAAGCTCGCCGGCTGTGCGGGGAGCTGGTCCCCGAGGCATTTCTCCTGCTGTAATGGGAGTCCTGCGGAGCTTTGAGGTGGGACACAGAGGACCCGGCTCATAGAAGAGCCGAGTCGGAAGGGGCCCTGAAGGCCATCAGGTCCACCCCTGCACCTGCAGGAGGCCGAGCGGCACCGCCCCGCTCAGGTGGCTGCCCGGTTCCTCCTGGAAGGCCTCTCCTTCAGGCTAAGCCTGGCTTCTGCTGATTCACACAATCCCCTCAGGTCCTCCAACCCAGAGGTCTCTCTCTGCACGGCCCCCACGCCCCGGCTGCTCAATTGAGGTCTGTTTCTGCCATCTGCCAGTGAGGGAACAGATGGGAAAGTCCTCCACCGACTGCACGTAAATCATCAAGTGACACAACGCTCTTACGAAAACAGTGCCCGGCCGAGCCGTCGATGGGCCGGAGAGGCATCCCCTCGGACGGGTGCTGGGGTCGTCTCCCACAGTTTGCCGGACAAGGGAAGAGGGGGAGACCACGGAAAGAGCAGCTTGCCACCAAAGCTAGCCCCCGGGGACTGGCCCCTCCTGCGCCAGGGCTTGGGTGTTGGTGGGGGGCAGAGGGAAAGGGGAGAAGCTGGTTAAGTGGAGGCAGAAAGAGGATCCACCTCCACAAGGGACCGGCCGCTTCGGGTTCTGCACCCGTCTTCCCGAAACTGCCCCTCTTGGGCTACGCTTGGACTGCAAAGCCCCCACGTCCAGTCCATCTTGTGCCCCGAGCACAGCTGGAGGGCGGCAGAAAGCTGCCCCACACATTCGCATAGGAGCTGCGGGCCCTCTGGCCAGCTCCCCACGGCGCCTCCGGGCAGCTGTGCACCCAGCCCTTGTGCCACCCAGCCCCACGGAGCACGAGGGCTGAGGAGCATGTGCTGGGAAAGGACACGGCCCCCTCGCACACAGGGCCAAGACACTTGCGGCCACCCCACGGGGCCGCACGAATCGCATTCGACGCGACGCAGCTTCCCATGACCCACGTTAATACGCACCGGGCCCGGACGGAGGAAGCCGCCCAGGTCCCAGCAGGGCCGGCGAGACTGGCACTCACCCAGCTGCCGTGCCCACCCCCCTTACGGACTGGGTGGCCCTCCTGGGTGGCCCCAGAGGCCGTGCCACTTGGTGTGGAGCCGAGCCTCTTCCGGCTTCTTCGCCGCCCTCTGAATCCCCCCCCCCCCCGAAAGCTCTTTTCCCTGGGGAAACCATCTCAGACCAGCTGCCCTCCGATGGGTCTCCTCACCTTCCCCTCTCCCAAATCCGCAAGCACGTCCACTCCCCTGGGACCTCCTGGTTAAGGCCAGCCCCACTCCTTGCTTTCAGCCAATGCGCTAAGGAGCAGAGAAGCATAGAAGAGTCGCGTTGGAAGGGGCCACGAAGGCCATCAGGTCCACCCCTCCTGGTAAGAGCGCCTTGCCCCTGCGGATGGATTTGGAGATCTGCAGGGGCGGCTCTTGACTCGGTGCTACGGAGAGCAGGAAGCGGGCTGCATGCGCAGGGATTCGGCATGTCTGGGGCGCCGGACAGGGGAACGGGGGGGTCCGGGTCTCAGTCCGCACGCTGCCGTGACTCTGTACATGGGGGGCCCTTTGCCCGTCCACCGATTCCGGGGCCAGTTTCAAAGGGTCTTTCTCTCTCCTACCAACGAAACCCAAACATGGCAATGTTGCTTGAAGCTACGGGAAAAGGGGCGCTGAGAGATTAGGCCGGCTGGATCTCATCCTACAGACAGTGATGGTCCAACAGCCCCTCGTCCTTCTGCCCCGGAATATATTCCCTTTTGAAACCCCCCCCCTTCTTTTTTTACATGTCTTCAAAGTTTCCAAGACGCGCTCAGGCGGTCCACCTGCAAGGCTACCAGAGGTTCCCCAGCAGGGCACGGATTCTGCTGGCGGAGCGGCCATTAAAAAAAAGCAGCGCCTTCCAGGGAATCTTGTCTCCCACCCCCACGCCACCTTCCCGCTTTCGTCAAGAACTCAACAGGCCATCCCAAGAGCCAGTAAAAAGATCCGCTCTGATACCCAGAAAATTTTACAAGGGGGCGGCGAGGCTTAAAAGTGGTGGGAAGAAACCGAATGTGCCAGGTTCCCGGGATGAGAAATCCGTCAGGAATGCGGGCCGAAGGGCCAGCTGTTTGCAGAAATCCAGCACAGGGGCTTGGGCAAAGAGCCTTCCAGGAGTGGCTTGGATGGTGGGTGGCGGCGGGGGCAGGAGGGGGGCACAAATTACAGCTTGACAAAAAGGCGGGGGGTGGAAGGCCTCCCCCTTCCTCGCCCCAGCATGGCAGCCAAGGGGCTTCAGATGGAAGGAATCCGCTGCTGTCGGAACAGCGCGCTTGTGTCGAATCAGGTGCCGTTGGCCGGGCTGCTGGCCAGCGAGTGCTGCGAGGACATGTAAATTCGCTCATTCATGCCGCCTCCACAGCTGCATTTATCTGGACAGGAAGCCTCCACAGGCAGAGGAGTCTGCCTGGAGTGTCTCTGTGGGATTCCTTGCCCGGCCGTGGCCTTTGCCCAGTCCAGCTCCACCGGAGGCCAGTAACCTGCTGTCTCTCTTCAGCGGATTGGACTGGCTGTTCTGATCGTCCCCAAGGCATGGGAGACACACCCACCTGGGAGGGAACTCGCCTGTCGCCTCCCTGAATGAGTCCGTGCCAGGTTGCCTTCCTTCCCTCAACCTCCACGGCTGGATAACTTTGGGATCTCAGACCCATTGATCCGAATCCGCCTCTGGTGCTCTTCGCCCGAGTGCATACCTTGGAGTCTTCAGACTGGAGTTCTGCCTCTCAGACTAAAAGCGGCTCCATCACTGCACCAAGGGATGCAATTGGCTCCTAGCAATGCAGGGATGTGGTGGGAAGATTCTCCAAGGAGGCTGCCCACTGCTTCTCTGCATGAGCTTCCGTTCTAGGCTCCCCTCCCGATTGCAGCCACTGTGTGGCGAGCAGGAGAAAAATCTTCCACGTCCTTGCGTGGGGTGCAATTTGGTAGATGCAGAGAATGGTCCCTCTGCTTGAGTTCCTGTTGGCCACCGGAAGGCCAAAACCCAAACCAAAACAAAGTGCTCCAGTCTGTGCTGACAGAGCTGCGAATCCCACACCCAAGCCCCTTCCCCAGGGGGCACCAAGGCCAATTTTGCCCCCGTTAATTCGAGCGGTAGAGACATGAGCGATTCCCCACGCACGGTTCTCAGACGGGTCCGTGTTGCCAAATGCGGGTTGCTTTGCTCGCAAATCGCACTGCAGGCTCAGGAGCGGCCGAGCTTCGGCTGCAGGTTGCATCGGGTCCAGAAGGTAAGAACTGGCTAAAACGCGGTAAAACCGAACTGAAACGAGTTTTTCGTGCAACCCTCGACCCGGCTGGTTTGCATGGGCCAGGGCAGCCGGGGACCCGCTCTTCCTGCTGCTTCCTGGCCCCTGCAATCCCTGGGAATTTTAACCGTGGCTTCACGGAGCCCTCCCCAGGGAGGGGAGAGCACAGAACAGTCTCCCCTGCCGGGGTCTCCATTCCTCTCTTCCCAGGACTCTCCCCGGAGACTCTATTATACCCAGTGATCTGTTCACACCCCTTACCCCCTCCTCTTGTGTTTTTGCAAACAACGAGGAGCAAGATTTATTGGCGAGATACAAGGGCTGCGTTCCCGGAGTCCCAGCGGGGCTATTCAGTTGCACCGGGATCATAACAGTGCTGAGTCCAGCGCCCCCCTGCCCCGGACACACATTCTTGGCACTTCAGAACTCGCCATCTTTAATTTCTCTACAGATTGGCAAAGAGGGAGTGAGAGAGAACACCCCCGAAGGGTATGCGGTGAGCAGCCCGCCCAGCCCCGGAGTTCAACAGGTGTGGCGCGTTCCCCTCCCCTGGCACTGACACAGTGGGGTAGAGAAAATGCCATTGTTTGGATTTGGGTCTGTGGTGTGGCGATTCAACGGGAAAAGAGGGTGTGGTGTGTTGCCTTAAGGAGCGCAACGCACAACGGGGGCGGCTCTGGGCAAGGGAACATTGTGGAGGTCTCCCCCAAAAGGAGATGGAAGCGGGACCCCTATGCATCTCCTGGACGGACGGAAAGACCAACAGGCAGGTCCTGGGCAAATGCAGCCAGAACCTCCCCTGGGAGCAGAAATGATGAAACCGGGGTTGTTTTTGGACATCTCGCAAGAAAGCAAGACTCAAGGGGAAAGAGAGTGAAGCGGGGAAAGTCGAAGGTCGGAGAGCTGGAGGAAGCCCTAACGGACGGCCCAGGCGTGTGCTTCTGGGAGGACGCAGGGCTTGGCGGCCACGTCGCAACCCCCTCGGGGAGCCCCTTCCTCACCTGGACTCTCGCCTCAGTGAGCTTGGTCCTCTGCGCGAGCTCCTCGCGGGTGTAGATGTCGGGATAGTGGGTCCGCTCGAAGGCCTTCTCCAGCTCCTCAAGCTGCTCCGCCGTGAAGGTCGTCCGGCTGCGGCGCTGCTTGCGCTTGAGCGGGAGATCCGGCTCGGACTCCACGTCGGATCCCTCGTCCAGCCTGTTGCCTGGGCAGGGGAACAGGAAAGAGAGGGGGTGAGATGGGGCAGTGCGGCCACCCTCGGCACCCCGGCCTCCGTGCCTTTCTCGCAGGCCGCTCAGCTCCCCAACTCCGTGGAGTCCCAACACTCAGACAAGGCTCCCCAGAGCACCCAGGAGGGGTGGCGCTTGCTGCAGGACAGGCCTGGCCCCCCGTCGGGCTTCGGGTGGCGTTAGCTCCCCGCTGAGACACCATCCTCCTCTTGCCCTAGCAGGCCGGACAGGAAGCCATCCCAAGCCCTGCTTACTTTCCCTCCTGATCTCCCTCCAGTTTCGCCAGACGGCCTGAAAGGGGCCACGGGAGAGGGGAGGAAAGGCGCAGGGTGGTGCTGGCGTGGATGTGGCCCACCTCCCCCGGGGGACCCAGGCGCTGCGCCGTTCCCAGGCAAGACGACCGTCCTCCGCCTCTGCCACTGGGCGATGGCCAGGGCGCTCACTGGGATCCATTCAGGGGAAACGCCGCTCGCCACCCCGGTCAGAAATGGCGGGGCGTGTGGCGCCCCCCCCCCCCCCCCGCTTTTAGCTCACGCTGCAGGGAGCAGACGCGGAGTGCACAGAACGGAGCGCCATAACCCGACCCGGAGCACATGGCCTGGTGGCCCACGGGGAGGCCGTGCGGGACGGTGGGAGGAGGGGAAAGCCGCAGACGGTTGCGGTGCACGGGCGTCACAAAACGAGCCCGCTCACAACCCACTTTGCGAGCGTGGCTCTGCGTATCTTGCCGTGGTGCCTTCGCTTCCTGAGATGACGCTCGGGCAGTGGCCCAGAGGCCCAAACCTTGCCCTACACCTGCCCCCTTTGCCTGCACACAGGCAGCTCCGTGACCCGTCTCAGGAGCCGGCCGTGCGGACTCGCGCACGGAAACACGGCGCCAGGCCCTTTCGCTTTTTCCACAAGCCCCGCCTGCCCGACGGCTCCCCGCGAGGTCATTCGATCGCTGCCGATCGCAGGGGCGGCAGGGCGCGGCGCTCGCTTCCTCGGAGTCAGCGCTTCTGCACGCAGGTGGAACGTCGGCCACAAATTTGGGGTGGGGAATATTTGTGCAACGCTCGACGGTGCCGAGCTCTGAAGCGCACGGTCCGTTCCAAGGGAAGCAGAGCATCAGTGAAGGCTGGCTACAAAGGCGAGCGTTACGAATAGGTGAATTCCGACTGGTGAAGTCCAACGCAAATTTAAATGGCTTGCAGTTGGAAGGATTCACCTCATGGATCCCTCAGAAGACGGTGAACCGCTTTGTCCACTGTTCCACAGACTTGGAGCAGTGTATGCAAATTTCGCCAGAGGAAAGCTACTTGAAAACATGCTAATATATATGCCATTAAAGGCCCACATTCTATACGTCTCTGTTCTCTCCGCAGGCTCTGCTAACTTGCTTATTTCTTTTTGGGAATTCTGCTCACTGATTGCCGATGAGCCACTGAACTAAAAAAAAAAAATGCACAAAATGTTAACGCGCTGGTGAAACTCATGGAAATGGCAAAGGACTTTCTTTTTTTTTAAACAGAGTTTTCCAAACGAGGAGTGGAAATCTGATTCCATTAACGAGTGGCACAGATGACGTCTGACAATCTGGGAAACACAGATGGAATGGATTAAACAAAGTCTGTGCATCTGTATCGACTAGCGATCCAACTAATTACGCGATTCGGTGGCATCACTAACCTTTCCCCCCGTCCCAAATCCCTCGGCTGCCCCTTCCCTGTCCCAGCTTGGCGTCCGCGGCGCCATCCATCTTCGCTCCAGAATGCGGCCAGCCGGCTTCGCCGTCCACAATGAATGTGCCTGCGCTTGCCTGGCTGCAGCCTCAGAGCACCTTCCCCCCCGCCCCCCCGGGCGGCCAAGTGCCCTTTCGGCACCCCTGGCACTTGGCTCTCCTCGCACGCCGTTTGGGCACATCCGAGCCTCTTTTGGGGACAAGCAGATCCGTCCATTTCGCCGCTGCTCCGCTTCTCGCTTTCCCAGCCTTCCCTTTGGAGTGTGCAAAGTTTTGCTAAGAGAGGTGCGCGTTTTGCGAGTAATTTTCCAGCCACTGCCGGGGACCAAAACCCGAACGGCACTCTCCCAGCTGCAAGCTGGAGAGGCCATGCGCGAGAGGCCTGGAGAAGGGGAACGAGGGCGCAGCTCTGCTCTGCCTCGGCCTTTCCGGCTGTGGAAAGTTCTCCTGGCTGGCCTACCTTGTCGTCCTTCCAAAGCCAGGTGAGGACAACCCGCTTTCTGGAGGCACTTGAGGGCTTCTAAGGACATTGAATGGCTTCCTGCCTATACCACATCAAGGGTTTAATGGGGTTTCTGAATCAATCGTTGCTTTAGCAGTTCCTTCAGTCTCAGTCTTAAGTATTTGGGAAACTGCGAAGGCATCTTATTGTACCGCACCTGTTTCAGGAATGGCGATAAGCTGCCCAGGGTACTTTGACTATGGGGTGGTATAGAGATGAAAAACATACTGCAACTAACAGCAATAATTTATCCGCATTGCTTTTCGTGCCCATTGTTCTAAAATGGACCAGAGAGGAATCCGGGAATTGTGCCTGGAAGGACCAGGTCATTTCCATTGTGCGGATCGGCCCTTCATGGCGGCATCCGCTGCCCCAAACCACCATGTCCGTGGCCCGCACAGGGCTGGCGGGAGACGGCGGAGGACGCGTCGAGACGGAACAGCGTCCCACTGGGACTGTCGGCGCAGTGGCTGATGGGAGACGTGGGTGCCAAGATGGCCTTCTCCGCAGCCCTCCACCAGCACTCCTCACAGCTCACACGTGGGCACCGTTACTGGGGGGGTTCTCACAGGGGCATCCCGGGCACCGGGGGCTGGGGGGGCCTCCTCTTCCTCCTCGCACCCGTCTGGGCCAGAGCAAGAGGCAGGCCACGAAGCAGGTTGCCATGGGGAAGAGGAGACGACAAGCAAGGCCTCGCAGGGGGTGGCCTCTTGGCCAGCGCACAATCGTCCCACCCAGACCAGACCAGACCGATCCCTCCTTCCCCTTCCACTGACTGCCCCCTTCTCCCTTCCAGCCAGGATTTCCACGGACCTTGCGGGGCGAGGCGGGACCCTGTCCGGCAGCCTCCGCCCAAGCTCAGAGCCCACACCAACCGTCCTGGGGCCCCCGCTTTCTCCGCCGGAGCAGGCCCCGTGGCACACGCCCGGCCCGGCCTCTCCATCCCCTCCTCTCCCTGCTCTTCCAGCAGCACCGTGCAGAGATCCCCCCCGCCCCCCTCACTTCAGGGAGACTCTCGAGGCCTTAAAGTTAAATTAATCAACAGGATTAGGCAGGAATTGGCCACGGCCAAACCCTCCAGGCGCGGCTCAAACCCTTGAGGCACTCCAAGGACCTGCCTGTCTACAGCTCGAGCACCTCAGCCCAGCCTTAGCAGGATTCGCCGCCCAGCCCAGGCGTGGGGACGCATTCATTAAGCGGGCGCCCCGACTGCCTGCGCATTCAAAGCAGCGGGACGGACGCCTCTCCGGCTGGGGCGCGCCGCTCTCCCCGGCACCGCCGTCCCTGCTCTCCCTCTCTCACGCGGCCCCATCTGGACTCCTCTAATCCCTCTCTCCAAAGGGTCTGCTTGACAGCTCTCTGCTCCGCCGAAGCAGCTTCGCCGCTGGCACGGGCGGCCGGGCAGAGATGCGCGCCAGCCCTGGAGAGCCGGGCCCGGCGTCCAGCTCCGCCTCACGCCTGCCTGGCTCTTCTCCGCCAGCAGGAGCCCCCGCTCGGCATGCAGGACGGGCCCGGGTTCAACCCCAGGTAGGGTTGGAAAGACCCTCCCTGCAGCCTGGAGGACAACAGCGGCCAAAGGCCGGCTGGACGGAGCCAGGTTCATGCCCAGCAAGAGGCTCTTCTTATTTAAATCGGCTTATTCCTGAGGACTGGAACCGCACCTTAGTTTAACGGGAAGGACCATGGTTCTGGGGCAGGGAGAGCCTTGCTGCGGCTCCTGGACTCTGCAGGTGGGGCTAGGGAGGAAACCTTTCTAAGCCAGCCTGCCAGGTTCCCGAAGGACCCCTTGGACTGAGTGCGGCCAAGCCCAAGCTGGAGTGGCCACAGACCTCAAGAAGGGATCAGAGCCAGATTCTCAGAGCAGGTTCCCTCTCCCAACAGCCTCGCCTTGCTAAAAGCACGCCTTGAGGCGGGGTGTTCTGGCACACCAGAAACTGGGACCAGGCAGGAAGGGGCCTTCGGTCTGCTCGTGAGTTCGCCTTGGCTGCAACGTTTAAAGAGTGCTGAAGCTAAATGGGGTGGTTACGCACCACAGATAGCTCCTTCAAAGTTCAGACTGAAACCCAGTGTGGATACACAGCCCCCACGGATGTTGGAACCGCTGGTCTCCGTGGCCCTTGGGCTCTGGCGGGCTGGAAATAAGCGATTGCTGCGGAGCAGAGCAGAATTCTTTGCATTCTGACCCTATCGCCTGAGCAGACGAGAGTTTCAAGCAGGCATCTGATGTCCTGCACACCTGCCCAACCAAACAAGACCAGATTCTGTTGCCATTTGTGGGCGAGCGGCCACCGTCGCTTGCCCCTCGCAAGTTGAGACCGCAATGCTTGGAACAGGGAGACGCTCTTTTCCTGGCTCATGACCCTTCTCTGCTTCATTCACTCAACTTCACCTGCACCTCCTGCTGTGAGATTTTAGAAGCTTTCCGCAATGTGTCGCTTCCAAAACGTTCTACATCTATGGCTGCTCCCAGCCTGCAAAAATGCACTGTTGTTTTCTGCTCTCTTATTTCTCCTTCGTTTCCTTTGTTCATTTCCAACAAATTATCTCTCTGGTTTGTTGAAGTCTAGCAGCACCCGGAGTGCCAGAGGAATTCGCGCCGGATGCAAAGAAGTTCAGATTTCTATGAATCTAACCTGCAGATTTCTCAGACGACCAGCTTTTTCTGACCACTGAAAATTCCACAGACCCGTGGACTGGTTTTAAAAGTTGTAATTTTTGGGGGGGGGTGTCATGCGAATCTGCAAGTATGACAT